TTTACCCCTGCTGGGATTTGAGCGTTCGCTCCCTTTTGGACAGTTCGCCGCGTGAACGGAGACACAGCGAACCGCACTGGAGGGCTCTCTGGTGGTGTCTCCATCCTGCTGGGGCGGGCTGGGAACAACCACTGGGCTACCAAGTGGGTGAACAACAACATCATGGGATGTTGCTCCTTGCTGGCATCAAGCAAGTCCATGATCACTTTGAACACAACAAGAAGGATGGGCAGGGAGAGGTGCATCACAGATTCAATCCTTTGATTCGTCGTTTATAAACAAATAACCTAAAGAGAAGCACAGGCACTGAGGAATTTGCTTTCCCTCAAAAATTCTTGCACCTTTTGCCTGGACGGGTTGCTCCTTTCCTCCTCTCAACCTCTCCACCCACCTGCATCACCCCCTGTCGCGGTTGGGACGGGACATGACAAGAGTATGTGTAAGAAGGCGGTCTTTATTAAGTTACAAAAGCCAAGACGGCTGAGATGGCACAGCAGAAAAACCATACCCTTTTATAGCCTTTCTTATCTGTCCAACGGTTCATGCACTAGGGCTGTTATGATGATTCTCTCAGTAGCTCTGTCCATTCACCTGTATTCACACACTGATTGGCTGGAGCTCCAACTGTATTACCCACTTCATCTACTGTTCTCTTGTGTTCTCTTGCCAAATTTCTGCTCTGTGGTATTCACTTGTTTAGTCTCTCCTTGCTCAGTCTCTTATCACCTCCTCAGACCTGTTTATAACATTCTTCATCCACTTCTTTCATCTTCTCACGGGTATACTGGGATGCTGTCGAGGCCAATTTCAGCTTCCTCAGTCAGGCTATCCCCAACAGCCCCCCATGCCACCACCATGCCTGCCTGCTGATTTGTGGTAAGCCAGTGCGGTTCAATACAGTTTTATCAAAAAAAGACTTGGAAATGTTTGTGGTTTTTTAAACCTGTGGTGAGCCAGTAAGTGCTGTATGCTGCTCGTAGGATGAAGCACAGCTGAAATGGCATCCTGCAGGCTGGGGGAGGCTGGGCCTAAGCACGAGCTAGCGTGACATGGTCTTACACTGCAAACCACTTCTGTGTCCTAAATCATGTTAAATATATTGTGTCAGCCAAAGTCAGCTTGTGCAAGCCCTGAAGGCTCTTCAGGCTCTTCAGTGGGGAAGGATGTGCAGAAGGTACCCTTCACATGCCCACTTTCCTGCAGCGCATTGGATCCACCCTTCCCACACATGACCCCCCCAGAGGAGCATGCCTTCCCAAGGATGCTGTCACCAACGCAGAGGTGTCCAAATGCAGCAGTTCGTGGCTGCTTGAGAAACCAGTCACCCAGCCAGTCCCTGCTGGCTGATGACACACGGGCTGAAGGTGCTTGTCTAGGATGACTGCGCATCTCAAATCACTCGCAGGGCTTCATGACAACCCCCTGCCTTGAAAAAATCAACTGCTAGCAAAATGCGAGTAAAACTGGAGCAAACAAAGCATTGACAAGGACAGAGGCAAGTCTTTGTCTCTTTATGCTTCAGTGGAGCTGGTGTCAGATGGTGACGTTGGCTCCCTGCCACTCAGCCAGGTGTGACTGCTGCCTGCGGACAGGCACCAGGCAACTCATTGCAAGAAGGTCAAGGAAAACTACGGAGTGGTGAAACCACCCCCCTTATTTCTGTATGAAATTTCTCATGGTTTAAAACACATGTGGCAGAGATCTGAAACAGATTTAAAGTCTCTCTTGAATTTTGAACATGAACTTTTACCTGAATTGGAAATATCAATGCAAAGAGGTGGGGGTCAGCCTCTTCTCCCAAGTAACAAGTGATAGGACAAGAGGGAATGGCCTCAAGTTGCCCCAGGGGAGGTTTAGATTGGACATTAGGAAAAATTTCTTTACTGAAAGAGCGGGCAAGCATTGGAACAGGCTGCCCAGGGAGACAGTGGAGTCACCATCCCTGGAGGTGTTCAAAAAACGTGTAAATGTGGCACTTAGAAACATGGTTTAGTGGGCATGGTGGTGTTGGGTTAACGGCTGGACTTGATGATCTCGGAGGTCTGCTCCAACCTAATGATTCTATGAAAGGGCTGTATTTTGTTTTTGTCTGAAATAATGTTTTGTTGCCTTTCTAGCAACCACTTACATTATTTTGAATGGATTGTGGTAGGATTTCTGTTAAGTATACAAAATTGTATTTTCCCTGGCGGCAGTTGTGGATGAAATCAATTGTTTGCTGCCTGCAATTCTGAAAAAACTTATTTCTACCATCTATCATTGTTACCCCCAAAGTGCAGGGAACTTTGAATAATCTCAGAACAGCTTTGGACCTGTTTCCACTTGCAGGACTGTGTGTGCTCAAAATGGAATCAATTGCCCATCCCTTGAGAGCTTCCATTTGATGACAGTGACACATATTCTCAGGAATAAAAGTCGATCTGATCCTAATGAAATACTTCTCAAAAAAAGACTCGAGGATTTCTAAAAAAAAAAAACAAAAAAAAACAAAACCAAGAACAGACAAAAAGGTCATTTAGTCACTTGGAAGAGAGCATTAATACAAGGAGGCCTCAAGGAGAACAAAATGCAGAGGTTTATGGAGCAGACACTCCCACCATCATGCTTCCCAACGCCCTCAGTGATGCAATGCCACTCTTCCAAGCACAGCTGCATCACCAGACCTCGTTTGCTGAAGGGACGCATTAGGGAAAAACAGTTGGAAACTGCTCTGGAGTTTCCTGATTCTCTGAACCTCATCTTAATGTTCCACCTCAGAACCAGTGATGAAGTTGCTTTTGCTCTATGTTCAACAGGCAGATTTCAGGTAGAGAGTGAACATCCTTTGAGGTACTGAACAGCTACAACAACATTCAGTTTTCTCATCTAGCAGTATTTAAATAAAACTTCCTGCAGCAACATGCACTGAGTTGCTGTGGTTCCTTCACCTGAATCCTAATGGTCCCAGCGGAGTACAAGACCCTCAGGACACACTTGTCAATTACTGATTAGGTCTGAATTGCTAGAATTCTATTGGCATTTCTTTGCCCAGACCAGTATCTGTGCAAAGCCTGCCAATTGTCCATTGCTTTATCACATCTTAGCATGTTGAAAATTCATGCAAGTACTTGCAACATTTTAGCAGATTTTGCAGAATGACAGTCTTTTTATTTTTACTGGTTCAGTATACAGCCATGTGACACACTGAAGCTAAGAAAAATTGGGGAGAATGATTCACAGTAAAATTTTCAGAAGTCCATTTCTTCTAAATCAAGGCAGAAACAATTCTCATACAGTCCATGATCAGTGACTAAATTCTACATTATTTTAAATTCACTTACCATTATAAATATTATTAGTGACAATACCACTATAACCTGAAAATAAGTCAGGGGCAAGATCTGATCTACATCTGGTTTATATTTATAGTGTTCATACCTGTATATTATTTTATACGCATACACTTGTATAAAACAACAACAAAATAAAACTGTCCCCACAACAGTAAACAGGGTATATTGTACAGCTTATAAGTTACGGTATACAGTAAAACTGGTATCACATCCTATAGGTTATGGAATACATTAATAAATAGACAACAATATATTAATTTGCAATTTTAACAACAAATTTTAGAAGAGGAAGTAAGATATTACATACAATCGGGCTCATTCATCATTACTGCTTTTACTCCAATTTAAAATAATGGCACTTTCATGTCATGGGAAACTTGGAAGCAATAAGGTAACGAATCACAGTCAATACACACAATTCAGCAGAGCTGTAACATTTGAAGAGCAACCTGAATTTCTTGGAGTTTAAGTGCTTGATTTTGCAACCCTGAAGCTGAATTATCCACATTTAGTTTCTCTGCCTGCCTGTTTAATACATATATAGAAAAAAAAAATTTACTTGTCTTACGGTATTCACCAGCTTTGCTTTTTGATTGGAAGGTAAACACTCAGCTTATTGCTTTGCCATTGCTCTTTCACACCAAACCAGAACCAAGCCATGGAAGCCTGTGGCAGTCCTATGGATCCATCCCACTTAACACAGTGGCTCCCGTGCTGGTTTTTAATGATAAGTAGCACCCTAAGTATCTAATCACTCTATTTATATCATTTAAAACTCTAAACTACTTTGGAACATTCATATATTTTACCTACTGCTAAGTTGGCAAATATGATTTAATTATAAGCCTGTAATCTAAATAACAGCTTTTAAATCCACTGAAGCCAAGATGTGTCATAATATTCATACAACTACACATATAGTTGTACCTAATTCCTAATTTTGCAGTGCTGCAACTCTCCAGCAGCAACAGAAATGTATGTATGTACATATGTAACAGAAAAGGTGCAAACCAGTGTTCTGGATGGACATATGTCTGCTATTCTCATGCTTATTGATTAAATCTGTATTAAAAACAGTATCAGCAGAGGACTGCTGTGGGAACAGAAGCACAAAATGCTGCTCAAGAATGTCTGAAGCCAGATGGCCCTGTAGGTAAGTGGTAGTGTCAGACACAAAGTGACACTTCCGAGTGCTAGGGCTGCTTGTGCTTCTCTTAGTCATGGCTTCTCCAGCTACTCACAGAGCATGATGATGAGGTCTAATGGGGAAGCTGCGTAACAGTCATAAAAACTGCTGCACCAGACAATCTGTCCTTCGAGCTTTGAAAGAGACGGGAGGCAGCCATGGGGGGCTGAGGGGTTAAAGGCAGCTGGTGATTTTCTGTCCGAGTTAGATTTAAAGAAACAGTATGCTTCACACTGCAAATCAATGTTTATTTTACCACAGAACCATCAGAATCGACAATAGGGTGCCAGAGTACATCTTCACTAATTATCCCATAACAACACGGGAGCACAATTTTCAAAGACACATATTTGTATATCTGGTAACCACTTTTGTCCCCATTACTTAAAGATTAGAAATGCTTTGGGACACACACACTAGAAAAAAAAAATAAGCAATACAAATTTTTTGTTGCTGTCAGAAACAAAGCGCCAGGCAGCATATCATCGTTTCCTGGTCCCACTGTTGCCACTGGCAGACTTACTGAAACTTCTGCTCATTTGTGGGAAGTGTACGGTTGGCGTTCTTTCAGTGGGGCCGTACAGCCCTAAATTCCTGGCCGTAGCTGACTTTCGAAGAGGCTTGACACTGGGAAAAGGATTGAAGACTTGTGGCTTTGGGTTCCCAGGCTGGGGAGATTTAGCCAGGTTTCCACTGTCGCTGGATGAACTGGAGGACTCTGATAAACGTGGCTGGCCGGACGGAAGGGATGTTGACTCAGCATCGGTTTTGTTATCCGATGTGAGTTCCAGTGCTTCCAGTTTTAGCTGAACCACCGACACGTTCGTACTGCTGTCTGTAAAGACGGGCTCAGACGACCGCCGGTCAGCTTGTCGAGTAGTCCTGTCATCCAAACCACCTCCTCCTCTTTCTCCAAAGTCAGAATGTTTGGAAGTCTCCTCCTTTGCACCCGGACTATTTGTCTTACAGCTCTCGCTCTGCTCATCTATTAGTCCTATGGTATCCCCATAGCCCAGCTGGCCTTTGGCCCTAGCAATGTTCTTTCGATGAACTCGTATGTGAGTGCGCCACGGAGAGTTCAGTTTTGTTTTAAGATCTTCTTGGGGAATGGGAGACATCTTCCCTGTAGCATGACTTGGGATGTGAATAACAGCATTTTTGAGAGATCTGTTATTCAGTTTCATCTTCTTTCCTAAAAGGAGGTGGTTTATCACCGGGGAATGGTTTACCTGAGAAGGGAGGAGGCTGGTAACTGGCCCTTTGTCTGAAAGAAAGCGTTTAAAAAAAAAAAAACACAGTACTGTTAAAGAACAAAACAAATTGATGTTCTAACGATCCACCACCAAATTTGATGCCTTTCTTGAGGTATAGCAAAGGTTTGTAGGACTGACTGCTACTAAAAAACAAAACAAAACATTCCATTTCTCTTACATCTTGGAGTCAAACACAAAGCTGTACTTTTAAAATAAAGATGTCCTGTCCTCCCTCCCTGCTTCTTACCTATGGATAAGTCCTAAGGCAGGAATACCATGACAAAAACAGCTTCTCAATTTTTGGAATTGCACTGTAACTGATAGTTTAACATTAATACCTTCTGATCTTCCCCCTCTCCTTCATTTCTCTTCCAACCGCGACAGGCAATTCAGTCCCTACACAAGGTCAATCAAATAAGCCTCTCCATGAGGCTTGTATGACCAGACAATGAACCAATGTATTTTTAATGGATAAACTGTACCAACTCTTTTCTATTAGGTCCTCTTATTACACCAGAGCAGTAGACTCAGAATTAGGTAATTAGATGACAGTTTGATTAAATCACAAACCCAGCCCCGCATCATGATTAGTAAGATTAGAAAGGTTTGTGTTTGGGGGATGGGGGTTGGCAATCCTTGGGAATCAACATTTTACTGTTTGCACTGTTTCTGCTGGCTACAGCCTTCATTCAAAGCAAAAACTTTGCCAATATTAAAAAAAAAATTTCCTTGCAAATTATGTTAATAAAAAATTGCAGCTGTATGTATTCAAACGCTCCTGCTAGGACAAGTTAAGACAATCTAGAGGAGGAACAAAAGTTCTCCGTTCTGCATAGTTCAATGCTGACTTAGAAAGATGACACTTAAGTGGGAAGGAATGAGTGGGGTGGGCTGTGTTCAGCTTGCACACCCACCAAAACCTGCAGCTGCAGTGTTCATACTAACCCCTGCGTCGTTAGGTTTGCCAATTAGGGAAACAGACTCCGTAACACGGAGTGCTAAATAACAGACTGATGTCCTGCTCAATCCTCACAGCAGTATCATTACGGCCAGGCAAACTGTCAGCCACAATGGAACATCTCAGCCAGTTCTTCAGCTGCATAATTTGCCATGCCCGGATGAACGCAGAGGAGTTAGGACAATATGGACCAGCCAGGAATCTGCCTGTCACTTGGTCTGAAGTGACTTATCTCCTCATTTCACTTTTTCCAGTGCATCGGTATGTCAACTCCAAGAACGCCAAGGATTTAAAGCTTTTAATCAGAGAGATCAACACAATCAACCCAGATAGCAAAGACACTTTTAAATACCATTGTTCAGCTGGTCCCTGGGACCTAAAAAAATCCCAGGTTCGTCATCTTCAGATCCTGACAAAAGAAGAAAAAACATCACCTTCTCATTTACAGTCTGTATGAAGTGGTACCCACTTTACTACTGATGTGTTCTACATTCCACCAGCCTCTCTTGTTTTGCCTATTCGGTTAAACGTAAAAGAATGTTATTTGCCTTGTCTCCTATGATGAAGTTTGCTTGTAATAAAATCAGTAAATGAAGCGTGTTTTGATATGTTACCTGCTCTGATATACACATGATGAACCTGCTGTTGCTGCTTCTTCTTTATCCTGGAATATTGCTTTTTCAGTGCATTAATATCAGTGGTCATACGCTCCATCATCATGCTGTTGAAAGCAGCATGATACTCGCTTCGGCAAGAGTCTATTGCTCCTGGACTTAATTCTGCAATGTTACTGGAACCCAGACTTTGTTCTTCATTCTGATCTGCACAGAGCGGGAATAAAGAGGACACGAGGCGTAAATTGGCATACTCAAGAGTTCTTCCGATTATCTACAAGGAAAGTCTATGTCCAATTCCTATCGTCTTATTTAACTGTAGTCTTTAATTAAAATTTTATTATAATATGCACATTTAACAAAGCTGCACTATTTATAATAAGTATTCAATTTCTAGAGCTACTGCTTGAAAATAGCATGGGTTTGAGGGGAGTTTAAAAATTACAAAAGTCAATTAACATAGCAGTGCAAAGTTGTAAGCACAGTTCTTCAATTACCCGAAAGTACATCAAGCCATCACTAAAGTAATTCAGAAGCTGATTATTAAAGACACTCAGCTGGTCAGAGAGGATGCCAGCAATGCAAGTTACAAAATACAGTCAAGCAGGCACAAGATTAAACAACCAACCTAGCGATAGCAGCAAGAAGCATCAAGAAACAGTTACAGCACCACAGGGAGAAAGCTGCGAGTAGCAACAAACGGGGTAGGCGCAGAGCAGCTGAGGATCAGCCAGCTTGAGAGGGTCTCCGAGCTGCAGAGCAACAGCAGCCGCACCATTTATTTTCACAGCTGTCGCCGATGCACCACCAAACTGGCACTCCAGGGTCAAGGGGATAATTCTTTTTCAAGGGATGTTTGTTTGTCTTTGGCTTAGCCTGCAACAGCAGTTTGATGTTCGGGCTAAGTGCTAGCTGGAAGCAGCAGGTAGAGACTTACAGTCCCTCAGGAAGGGAAAAACAAAACACGACAGCAATCAAGAGGAAAATTGCAGCTTGTAGGTCTCAGCAAAACCAAGCCACAAGAATGATGATGTGACCAGATAACAGCAACTGCTACATTAGTCTGGTGTGGGTTTTTTTTTTTGGAGGTGGGGGGGAGAATGACGACACAGGACTGAAATAACTACAGCCTCTCTCAGGATATCATAAAATCACTGTTGATCCAGTACCATTTTGTAAAGGTTGCTGCAAGTTAGCAAACGATCTGCCTTTTTTTTTTTTTGTATGGATCAGAATTTTGTTCTGCTTATAGAGCTTGCACAGGGGGACATACAATTCTGTCAGAAATTTTATTCCAACATGGAGGGATTTGAAAAATAGTGACATTTTGTCAGAACACCTTAACCATACCCAATTAAAAAAAATGTGAACATACTCAAAACATGTAACAGTCTGAAGGTTTGGACAAAAGGGTGGTGAAATGACCTGCAGAATTCACTCACTGCTGATAGGTTCCAATATTAGCCAAGCATATGATAATAAAGGTCAAGATTATTTATTGCAGGTACACTCTTCAAGAAATACTGACTACCTAAGAGCTTTCTTAGAAATAAGCATGGATTTAGAGTGGACTTTTTCCCCCACACATGTGCTTCTTTTTTTGTGGGTGGGCAACACTATGGGGTTGGGTTTTTAACCATTACTGTAGCCAAATCCTTAGCCCACACATTTATTGTACCCATACAGCCTCCAAACTTGACTTTGAGACATCTTCATGGTCTGCAGAGCAATCCATTTGGTACCTGCTGTAAACTCTATGTGAATATAAACCACAATTTTCACTGCATATTTCACAGAGGAAGCTACAGATGATTTCTGCAAGGTCATGCAGATTTAACTACGTTGTCCAAAATGAACAAAAGCACTTTTACCTTTCATCTGCTTTTGGTATTTTTGGAGCTCTGGTGCCAAAAACCCACTTAATGGTCCAAGACAGCCAATTGCATTGGCAATCGAGTCTTCATCATCTAGGTCATTCTCCTCATCACTGTCTCTGGTTCTGCCTAGCCTTCTGTCAAATGAGAACATAAGAGAAATAAGAAAGAGACGTTCTTAAACATGATTATTACCAAACATCTTCTTTAGGAGCATACAAAGGAGGATGCCACCTGCCTTTTCACTACCTGTGTAGGGCAAACAATATCCCTATATGCCACAAGCGGTGCATTTCAAACTTACCCTGAAAGTGAAGTTGATTTTACTGTTGCAGGGAAAGGAGTAATGTTGTACGTGTACTTCTCCCTTAACTCTGCCAGTTGTGGGAATGGAAACTGAGCCATGGTATAAACAGTCTAGGGAAGAAAAAAATATGCAGCTTTTAAAGTTTTCACTTTAACAGTCCCACAAAAGATTTCTCCATGAACAGACTTTCACAGACTTTCAGGATTAAAGGCTGCACATTCTCACGTGCTGTAAGAAAATGGAAGTGGTCTAGTTTTATGATTCAGTCAGTATTTCCTGTAAGAAAAATAAAGACTGACTCACTAGAAAAATACATGGTTCAGAGGCGGGGGGGTGGGGGAAGGAACTGATGACATGAGATGTAGGGTCCTTTTCAACTCATACACTTACTAATAATCACTGTCAATCCTCTCCTTGCCAGCACACTGGAAATCCTCCTCCTCCAATTATGATTTCACTTATATGAACGCATCATTGAGGTTTTGAGGATCTTGCAGAAGACCTATGCTTCTGCTCAAGTATTCAACAAGGTACTGACACTATCATAGATAGGAAGACGAAGATCCTCACTTGATGTGGACTGTTCACAAATCCATTACTTCACCCGAGCAGCCCCAAGAGCTTATGCAAAGGAAATCACTTCAACACAAAAGCTATGGCCAAAGAGGAAGGACCCAATATTATCCAGCTAACTTTTCTCCTCTCAGTTTCAGGGTTTGAGCATTGGTTTGTGGGGGTTTTTTTGTGTGTTTGTCTTATTGTTTGGGGTTGGGTGGTTGTTTCTTTTGGGGGGGGGGAGAGGCGGGTAGTGGTGGTTGGTTTTTTTACAATAAATTTGTTTTATGGTGAACAAAGAAACCTTTCTGCAACTCTCTAAACACAACATGTAGTCCCTAGAAACTTAAAACACTGCCATGAAAAACTCCAATACATTTTATTTACTTCAACACTCAGACTTAAAGATAAATAGTTGCAAATGCATTTGCTTTCAGCATTGTTTTTGTTTTAAGTCATTTTGTAATAACAGAATATGTGTCACCAGCCAACCTGGCATAAAGACACATCGTATTTATTGCAATACCACTGCTGATTTGTTCCTATCTATTTTAGTTGCCTTTTTTTTCCCCTGCTTTTGTGCACTTACAACTATTCAGGACTCTCAAGTAACTGACACACAATTCATCGGAAGTCTCAATGTCAGAAGCAAAAAGATAAAATAGCCAAATATAATTTCTCATAGTTTCTCTGAAATATTATAGCTTTTCCCCATCTTGAAAACTAAATGTCTTCTGAAAGACAGCAACATAAAAATTTTTCATTAGCTATCACAGGAAATCTTTGCTTATATGTACTTTTTTTTTCCTGTGCTATTCAGCAACATTTTCATCTGAAGGCAAACAGCCTCAATTAAGATGAAAAGAAATTTTGAACAATTTCTACATAATCCACTCTTGAACTGTGCCTTGTCTGTGCTAATACATTAAGGACAACTACAAACATGAATTCAGTACTAGACCTTTCCTGACAAAAGAGAAAAAAAAAAAAGAAAAGTTTCACTAAGAGCAATGGTGTAAGCAATGAGGAGCAGGAAGGACACTCCTGGCTGGATCAGGCACAGGGCAATAGTGCAGCTCAACAGGCTTCTGTATGAAAATGCTTTTACAGTTCAAGCCACACACAGACTCTAAGGCAAGGAGGATGCCTACAGAAACCCAGAGTATGAACTGAAGCTTTGCCACTCCATGAAACTACAATGCTACTGTGAAAGACAAGTATTCTCTAGGGCCTCAACAGCGATATCCCGGCAGTCTACCAGACGAAGGAATTTTACGATCTGGAGAAAGACCTACCTCCGGCCCAGTGTGTCTGCCTGTTTGTTTGATCTCCACCACACTTTCCTGTTTTTTTCCCCCATATGTCTCAACTCTCTCCCTTCATAGAAAAGGAGGTGTGTCTGGAATTTATTTCTACTCTTTATGTCAACAGCCTTTTCAGGTAACTTGTTCCATATGCTAGTTACCCTTTAAGTGAAACAGTCGACTCAGATTCCTCCATTTACTCCTTGCACCAACTGCTTTAGATTACGCTTTTAGCTTTTGCCTGTCTCCAATTCATGTCTCTTCCAGATCTCATGTAATTTCTTTCATTTAGCATACACGTTTTAGGCTTAATTAGTTGTTATCAGACTGTAACTGGAGGCCTGGCTTGCCACCTGGTTAAGAGATCCACAAACAAATTCTATACTGATGCAAGTTCCACTGGAAATTAAAAAGATACTGTCAATCAACACCTGTGATCTCCTCACAGAAATGCTTCAGAGTCAAAGGATCCTGCTCCTAGTTTGTGCACAGCCTCAGATGCCATTTGGTCAATTCTGGTGAAACTGAGACAAAGGGAAACAGCTGTCCTGGTTTGGGCTAAATCAGAACT